TATATATATAATATATATATATATATATATTGTTCCTAACGTATATGGATATCCTCGCACACTAAAGACTTAAGTAAGCATGTATTTGCTACGACGGCAATCCACTTTCACTGTCACTTGGTCGCATTCAGAGACACAGCTCAACTCACATCCAGCTTCGCGACATCAGTAACTTTGAAGCCATCTATGAACTCCATCACCATAACGGACTTCGTTACCAAATTTGGGTAACATTTGGGGATGACCACGCCTATTCCCGACCGCTGCAAGAAGCAAGCATTAACGCTGCATATGCACGAAATTAACAAGATTGGCTCCCGCATATTTTGCATGCATATTACTACCTGCCCCTAATGTGGGTGGTGCCGCAATAACGGCTATTAGGCATGTCTAGCCCTGCCACCATCAGCACTACAGGTGTTCTTGCCCTCCCCAAACGATAATGAACGGTCCCGAGTGCCCCTTGTGGCCCACTAGCACGCCTACTGGAAATCTGTTTGAATCCTAGTGGAACGTCGTATCAAACGGTTTGTTATTTCTACGGTTTATCGGTCCATTCCCTACCTGCGCAGCGTCGTAAGCCCTAGTTTGATGTGCATATTCAAATCTGAAGTCCAGTTCTTTGCTCGCCGCTTTCTGCCATTCCTCTAAGATCGGCGCAAAGTTCATGCCCTGCTCGAGCATCCCAAAAGCTGCGCAGAACTCAGAACGACAGAGTCTGAGGTGTCGCATAGCCCACTAGCCAGAGACAAGTACTCTTAAAATGCGTCCCTGCCTGTCTCTCGACTTCTCCTGCCCGGTATCTGTCAATTCAGACTACTGCTTTGCCCGAGTGAAGCAGCTGACACTGTCCTGAAGTTGTCTGACCCAAGCTCACCCCAGGACAATTGCTTGAGGTTAGCCATGTCGTGCATTAAAAGAGATTCGACGTCCGCATGCTGAACCTTTACCACTACTGCAGTACCATCTGTCAGCCACGCGCGGTGCACTTGGCCAATGCTTGCAGAAGCGAGAGGTTTCTCTTCAATCCTAGAGAAGATTTGACTCAAATCGCCTGAACGTTCGCGGCAGCACCAATTACCATGAAACAACTATTAACGTAAATCTGTCCTTTTGTCCTTCCCTCCGTAGCGTCAAGGCCCAGAGCGCGACCCTGCAATGTCGTATCCGCCAGCCACAGGTGCCTCGGTTGGGGAAGCTCTGCCGCCAATGAGGAAGCTGAAAGCTCTGTAAGCGCCTTACCCAATTCTGTTTGCAGAGTTTTCTCGATGACTGCGTATGGGGTCGTCGGCATCATATCCTGCAGTTTAATCAAGTGGTGGATGTACTGCTGAGGCAGCAAGTCGCTCCTCGTGCTCAGGAACTGCCCCACTTTCACCCACCAGCCTATAGATTTTTTGTCCCCGCAAAGCATAACACAGAAAAGCATAGCACAGATCCAGAGCCTAGTCAAAAAGCAGCAACCTGCAGCAAGGCTGACTTGGACGCAGAAAGACTCAAATGTTCTGAAACGAAACGTGTAATCACACACTACGGCAATGGCACTAGCCCCGTCGTCGTGTATCATATGCTGGTGCTTCATGCCGCGTTCACAGCGGACCTGCATTAGGCAACTACACCTTACCCTTCAGCTCCTTGATATTGTCCCATACAAGGTTTGCAAAATGCTCGTGTCGCTGCTCCCAGTATGCCGCCTGCTTATCCTGGGGCAGTGCACGGCTGCGCGCCTGCGCTACTTTCCATCCCAAGTAGACGTTCGACCAACACCACAGCGTCTGCAGCAAATCCGCAGCTCAAATACTCGACGCACGGGTGATGCTAGCTTTGTTTCGTTGAGACGATAAATGGAAAAAATACCAGTGGAGCTCTGTACCAAGTAATAATCTACCACTTAAAAATCCCTCTGTTGCAGGAATCGATCCTGTAGTCTATCTGCAAGCTCCCCTCCTGCTGAAGGGTTTATTCAAGAACGAGATGTCCTGTCATGCAGTCTATCCCGGCAGACGTTTCGTGATGCACGGTCGATATACTGCCAATTGCTGGTGTATGAGCATACCCTCCATTTCCTGTTCCAGTTCTCCATCGCGCCGCCGAAAGTCTTCCCGGTGTCCCCGTCACTCCTGCCCGTAAACCCTCACAAATCTACTCGGCGGTAGCTTAGGATGGTGCGCCAGTTTGCCAGTCAGCATCGCGAGCACATACGCCTTTGACGTTGTAGTTCCAGTAGCGTTTATTGCTTCTGTCGAAGCCGACTGCTGCCTCTGTGGTAGGGGTATCAGTTGTCGCAGTTGTAACTGGCCTAGGTCTTGTTGTAACCCATATGTCGTTGTCCAGCGCACACGTAGTGAACTGCGTATGCTGCTGCAACGGTTCAGCCTTGGGATACTGTACGACTAGGCGTGTTTGTTTCCCCACTGTATCTCCTCTGCAGACTAAGACTGGCTAGTTCGTTCGTTAAGTTGCACGTAGGTTGATAGCACGCTGCGGTACCTAGGCAACTGGATGCCTAGAAAGACGCCGCGGCAACCCAGAGTCGTCCTTTTTGCCGACTCTGGTGCACCTATTGGAGAGAAGCGCCAAAATGAGCCTGTTGTGCAACAAAGCCGCCAGAACACACTCGTCCTCACGACCAGCCCCCTGCTTCCCGGATCGGAAATTGCCCAGAGAGCGGGGGATATGATAGTTGAGATCTCCGCCTCCAAGAATCCTAAAAGTCGCGGCTAGCTGGCGGAAATACCTTTAAATGAATGAACGCGACGCCGGCTCTCAGACTACAGCAAAATGTGTGCCCTGCCGTGCCGCTACTGGTAAGGGAACACTGTAGTGCACAGGAACTACACTGTGGCTCTGGTGTGATCTCTAGTGGCTTTATGATTGTAAAGAGAATAAATATTAAATAATTTAGGGATTAGGACATTAGTAACTAGGAAAAGGAATTAATACTGCTAAATGTTCTAAGAATTGTGTACCGTAGTTAGAGTCATAGCTCAGTAGGGTTACCGAGCCATTTTTATCCACATCGGTTGTGTAGTACAATGCTTAGTCACTACTTGGGTACCAGATAGGACTTCTAGAGATCTAAATGGAAAAGAAATAAAATTATTATTATATAGAACTGTTATGTCTGTGAACATGGCATTTAGGTGGATAGCAGTTTATAGGTCAGGCACCTGACTGTGTTGCCGCTGTTTGGTATCTCGCTGCCATCCTAAAGGTCGGGCACTGATCCCCAGTGAAGACCGGGGTCAGTTCCATACACGGACTTCTATTACTCGCTGAACTTCCCTCGTTTATAGTAGAGACTCGAACATGATTTGGAATTTTAAGTATTGATCCATGGGAATTTGGGTAGTTAGAGGATGTAGTGAGGAAACCAGACACTATGAGATGAAACCTAGGCACAGCTTAGGACGGCTGCGACTACATTTAGGAGCTGTTCCGGGAAACTTATATAAATTTTTTACCCAGTGACCTCCCCCGCAAATGTTGATGCCACTCTCCCTGCCATTGTATAGTGGAATGGTTAGTGGGAATCAACCGCAGCACAACCGGAGAGCCACGCTCCAAGTTTAACACAAGGATAGTATCTGCCGACCACCGACTGAACAGAAGGCAGCAGAGGCGGCGTGACCCAGCCAGCGAGCTATCGAAGTGGAGCGTGGAAAAGGCAACAGGTGGGAATCCGTTAGTAGAGAGTACGAGGGTGGAGAGTCCCGACGTAAGTTAAGCATATGAGTATACAGGGGTTCTGTGCGGAGTGGCCACAGAAATTCATCCCATTCCAGTTTTCCCGAGGTGGGCAAAGACGCTGAAGCGTGAGAGCAGATCCGCACAGGAAGAGGCTGCTGACTATGAGGAAGCCCCACAGAGGACAGGGGTGCAGCCTGATGTAAGGTCCATTACGGACGAAGTCGAGGAGCTGCAGCAAGCAGAACACGAGCTTTGCGGGGTGGACACAGGAGGGGCTGGAGAGCCCGCTAACACGATTGACTAGAGTGGAAAGACGCCATGGTGGCGAGAGGCTGATGAGGCAGCAGAGTTTGATAGGTGCGGAGTGTGGTGCGGTGTGGGCACTACCGCATTTCTGAGGGTAGATGTGGCTGGGAGCCAATGCGAGGAGTTCTTGGACACGGATGCCTCTAAGAGTTTCATTAGTTAGAAAGTTGATCGTTAGAACTAGAGGCGTGCCTAACTTACAGATAAGTGTATATTCATGGAGTTCACTGGCGAGCAGATGCGCAGCGATCGGGTCGTCATGAGATCGACGACGGGGGGTGGACGCGAGCGTTCCACGGGAGAAGGCTGCGCACTACAAACACAGCCCGCTAGGCACATGCAGACTGCGGCAGTGGCAACCGTTGTGCTAAACGAGATTGGGAAAATTAGTCGATACAAATAGCAGTATGGTTCAATTCATCTGCATTATAATATACCCGAACTTTACCGCAGATCGGGGTCTCCCCAGCAAGCATTCTAGGCCATTAGTGGGTTGGTCTAGAGTCGATCGGTGGCGGCCTGCGATACAGGTGTTGCTTGCTTCTCTGCCGCCGTCTCTCCTTTGCAGCTTGCTGGGAAAATCTTCGCCATTTAACTCGAACCACAGGACTCTAAACACATAACCTATCACAACCTTGTTGTCTAAATTTAACGCACGCTGAGCGTTCATCTCCCGAGGTGACTCTGTTGCCACCGGCCAGATGGACCTGTTTGGTGACTTCCACCGATTTGGTTTCCCTTCATGCATTTTATCCCTTCCATTTCATACACAACCGCAGAGCGCCGACTCCGCTCTTCAGCTTTAGCGGCTGGCCAAGATATGCTACGGTGTCATTTCCTGCTTGCTGGCGTTGTTCTGTCTGCTTATGAGAACTTGAACCGAAAGAACTCACCCTTAATTATCCATGACACCACTAGAAAACTCATAAAGGAGCTAACGTGACCAGAAGCACAAAAATAGACAGTCTAAGGCCGTATGCGCGATTGTCCTGAAGTATTTTCTCACGCCGCTGAGGTTCGGTCGATTGGCGGTAAATCACCCACATATAGGCTTAACAAGCTAAGACATTATCTGCTACAGATACGAAATGAAGTTGGAACCTGTTGAATTCGCGAGGAGGCAGAGAAAGGTCAGGAAGGAGTCACATCCAGTTTGAGGATTGCGGGTTAACCCTGGTTGCAGGACCCCCCGAGAATGTAACGCATGAAAGATTAGTGGGGCTCTTTTGCTCCTCTTGAGTTCAATGGTAGCCTGGCCTATAAAATGTGTTGGGTTGGTGCCACAATCATCGCTATTGTAAGTGCCTTACATGACACCTCTAGCTTGGAGGGCATGCGGAGGCTCTCCAGCGTAGAGCCAGCAATTGTGGCACCTTAAACAGCCAGTATATTTCTGGAAACTTTGGGGGGTCAGCACAGGCCTCTCATATTGGGACGTTTGCGATGAGCAGCATCAACAGGCTGCTACAATTGAGGCAGAGGCGAGCGTACTATCAAGAGAAAAATCTACTTTTAACGAAGCCGTTCAGTGTTGGACACTGGGCACATGAGCAAAATTAAACGTAGTTTGTCCATGCATTTTTCTGTGCTGCCCATGTGCCCTTGTGCGGTATTCACGATACCCATCCAGAGTCGGGTGCCTCAGGAAATACTGAAGACACGTAACGGATAGAAAGTGGGAGGCACGTTCATCTTCCGAATGTTTCAGGGAGAGGTTCGTGCCTGTGGGGTGTGCCCCATCACTGTGTAAAACAGCATTGTTGTCTCACCGCAAGACTTGAGGGTCTACGCCGAGGAGGCAGTCCTGCACCTGAAGACGGACACGGCTTCTGCAGGCCTTGGCTTGCTGGGGTTATTCCGTCCAAACTAATCTTCAACGGCGTTTTCTTTTGTGAAGCCAGTGCCATTGCAAAGTGCAACAATCTTCCCACGAATTCTCATGTGTGTCTACAGTGAGGCATTTCTAAGAGCGCCTTAAAATCAGGCCTCCGACGACTTCCATTTCCAAGCTCCAGCAGTCCTGGGTACAGTGGACCCAGTGCCTGAGCTGCGGGAGAGTAAGCGGCACTGCATGAGTTGCAACTCACTTCGCCATAGCAAATGGTGCGGGGCAACCCCTACATACAAGCACAACCAAGTCTCATCTGGCCATACATACGTCGTTATGGTAGACAGCACCTACGTCTTTATGGTAGACAGCACCTACATAGTAGATCGGGTAGATTTAGGACATGGCTGTTAATGTGTAGCATAGAGTTGAGTTCAACGGGGACGGACGTTTTGCAACTGAAAGCCAACAGGCTTGCGTATGCACACCGCTAAGCACGAAATGCAGATTCCCATTCATTCAGCGTCCTTAAGCGATTCAACTGTGGTGAGATTTCTGTAAACCATGCCTGGCAATTCTGTAGGAGGTGAGCACCTGGGTTGTCCTCGAAGGCAACCGGCAGCCGCTGTGCAAAACAGCCAATTTCCCCCAAAGTGTGTAAGGTGTAAGTAGTGGAGAAGATGTCTGAGAGAGATTGCCTGCAGACATTTAAACATAGTTAAGATTCAACATTCGCAGTTGAAACCGCTTCATTGATTCAAGTCATTTTCTCGGCAGTCGCATGCTTCACCTGGCGCCCATATATGATCGGGAAGCCACATCGGCATACTACGTGTGCTCTGTGTTTCCCCAGACTCTAGCAGACGAGTTGGGTAGAAATTATTTTTTGTGAATAAATACAGCATCGCTTCCTGATAAACCAGGGCTGCACAAGGGGAAAGCTACAGTCACTGCGTGTGGGACAGGGCACCCGCCCGCCTCAAGGCCCTGGGCAATAAGCGACGCCGCTTAACCCTTGTCGTCCACCTTAGCCCGCCGTAGGTAGCTAGGTTCTACTTCTGCTTCGAATAATTGCATACACTAATCGGCGTTTGCTCTCTTAGAGGCGCTGCAGCAGCTGCTGCTGTCGTCGTGTCCGGTTTCGTCTTCCGGTGAACCGGCGTGAACCTCGCTGGTAACGTAGCAACAGCAACTGGAACGACAGCGCCAGCGGCAAGGGCTGCTTAACGGGAGGCTCAGAAGTAGCGGCTGCATCAACTGGAACACAACTGTGCCGCAACCGGGACACCAGAAGGTGCAAGGGAGCTGTGGCTTCTGCTTTCCGAGTGGTGATATGCGAGGTCCTGGTAATAGCCTGAAGTCCAACTCACATGTTGATCCACGGGAGTCGTCTCCATAGTTCAAGGGGAGCAGAACAGGCGGCGCAGGACGCAAAACGACACGTCTGATGGCGAGCGGAAACACTAGGCCCACCATAGCCGCCTCTCCGGAAATTGCTGTACTTGACGTTACACCTCCACGAAGTGCTGCTGTCACTGCTGTCGCGGATGAGTCTGCACCAGCGAGAAATGCGGGGAATGACCTAGGAAGAGGGCCATCAACTACTTGTGCATGCACAGTAACCGAGGCCAATGCTGTGGGGGTGCTGGAACGGCCGACAGGGCAAAAAAGTCAAGACTCCCCGAGTTCGGCAGTATGGCTCCACAGCTCTTCAACGCCACATGGGCACTACGGGAGCAGCAGCAAGAGCAGCAGCACTGGTGACGACAGCGGCAGCGTATTGCTTGCATTTGCAACAGCAACGGAGTCTTGCTCAATTCCGTCAACAGAGATGAGCTACGACATGGAGAGCAGTGCTAACAACAACAGGAAGAGCAACATGGTCGAGAGTAGCAGCAGCAGCTCCAGCAGCGGCGCACAAAGCAGCAATGGCAACAACAGCAGTAGCGGCAGCAGCAGCACAAGTAGCGGCAACACTACGAACAGCGGCAGCGGGAAGCCCGGGCGTTACGGCGTCCCTCCAGGAGACGAATCTATGAACTCTTTGCGTCGCCACGTTGAGTTGCTGGTGGACCGCGAAGTGAATACCCGGACGCGCAGCCGGTATTTTACACATCTGAATGCTTTTTCATTGTGTTACATTTCTGCGTTCGTTTGCCTCTCTTAGCTGTTGTTACGCACATCTTTATGGTTCTTTTCTGGTGTGTTCCGCTGCACCTCCAAGTGTTGTGTGCACTCGTGACGGTTGGTGTTGTTCCGTTGTTTGCCTCTGTGACCGATGCAGCCTAGAGGCGTGTCTTGACGCCCTCGAGCCCCAGATTGTGGACCTGCACCTGCTGCGGGTGGTCTGCGCAAAGGGGCTGCCCGAGGGCTGTGCTGCGCTTCGGTCGATATACTGGCGCCTCCTCCTCAACTGTTTGCCCCCCAATCCGGCTGACTGGCAGCAGCGCCGCTGCAAACTCCGGTGGGCTTTTATAGCTCTTTTAACGCGGAGCAGTATATTCTTTAGCCATTGGGTCTTCGAACGCATGCACTTGTGAAAGCAGTGATGGGCATTCATTTGTACCAACGTAGATGACTTCTCCTTGCCCCCCGCAGTTTGCTGACGTTTGTGCATGTGGGCTGGTGTCGGCTTCAGGGAGGCGTACGAGTCCTACAAAGCGGAGTTCATTCGCGAGCCCGAGGCGGTGCGCCGCTTGCGACGCATGCAGCAACAGCAGAGGCAGGATGGGGAGGATGGAACAGGTGAAGCTAAATGGAACAAGCCTTTTCCTGCTACGGCTGCCGCGGCCTTTGGTGAAGGCTACACTACAGCCCCTTGCGACAGCCGACTTCCCGGCTGTGAGGTCTCCACGGACGGCGGCGGTCGCCTCCAGTCGGACTCCTCCATCCCCTTAGCAGCTGTTAAGGACCATGTGAGTTATGGTGCCCTCACCCACCCCGTAGACCAAACATCGTCACCGCATTCTTGCATCTTCTTTTGCTGCATCCATATTTTGCAGCCCTTACTTCACAAGGCAGGCATTTGATACCTTTGGTACATCAGTGAGCTTCCACGTGGTGTTGGGTTCCCAGTTTCGAGCGTAGCAAGGAGGGCTTTGCTGCTCGTTGTTGCTGTCTTTGTTGCTCAGCCTCTATGCCGCAGTGCAACCAGCGAATGGCGCGGATATTGGGTGGACGCTGAAGTGTTTGATCAGATCAACAAAGACGTCTTCAGAACGCGCCCGGAACTGTGCTTCTTTGCTCTTAACCCGCAGCAAACTATCGCGCGGCAGCAGCAGCTCCATCTTTACCCGCCTCCGCCCACCCGGCACACGCAGTCCCAGCAACAACAACAGAACGAGCATGTTCCCCGCCTTGTCAACTACGATCTCATACTACAGCACCAGCAGCAACCTCAGCAGCAGCTGCAACATCAACAACCACCTACTCGTGCTGCACCCAACCCTGCTGAGGAAGGTACTTGTGCCAGCAGCAAACACAAAGCCGGCGGCGGCAGCCACAGCAGGAGCTTTAATAGCACGTCGTCTCCGCTTAGGGGTTTTCGCCTTCCCTCCGCATTTCGCTCCAAGAAGAAGCTCGTGTCTGCCACCGTCCCAGCGAACCCAGATGAAAGCGTGTGCAACAGCGGCAGTGGGGGGAGCGGCGGTCGGGGGACCTGCAGTGGAAGCGGTGGGAGTGGCCGCAGCAGCAGTTCGTTGCATGCAGGAGTAGGAGGCCGCTGCAGCTCACCACAGCAGAATGCAAAGGAGAGGGCTGTCCCAGGCGGCGGCGGCCAGACAAGGATATGTTCATCCTCTCCACCAGAGCGTGTGCTGCCTGGATGCGTCCGAAGCCGAAACAGGCAGTCTCCTGACGCGGCGGATCCCATGAAGGTCTCTGCAGCTACGGAGCAGGACGATCATTTGCTCAAGAGACAAATGGGCGCTGCAAAAAGCAGGGCGGAACGCAGGAATGCCAGCGTGAACAGTAACTGCAGCAATGACAGCAGCAACAGCGGCGGCAGGTCATGTCTAGACCCACGTCTGCCGTCAGGGAAATCTTGCGAACCTGAGCCTGTTCGAGGACCTGGAAAGGCAGAACAACTGCCGCAAAACCTTCCAGCGAATTTCGGTGCAGCTGCTGCATCTGCTGTGGCTACGGATGCAGAGGCGGCTCCTGCAGCCTGGGCGCCTGGAGAGGAGCCGGACTTTCGGGACCAGAGTGGCTGCCTTGAGGACTGCGCTGCAGTTGCCGCAGTGGCTCCAGATGGTGGCAATTGTTCTGTCGCCACTGAGCAGCTAGGTGGAGCGGAAGCGGTGCAGCCGTGGCGGGCGCCTGCGGGAGTGCAAGATGTTTGCAACATGATAACTCCGCACCGCCACTACGACGTGTTGTCACGTTTGTTGTTTATCTACGCCAAAGTCAATGCCGGCCTGTGCTACGTCCAGGGCATGAACGAAATCCTGGCCCCTATTTATTACGCTTTAATGACTGACCCTACCTACACAGACTACGAACAGGTGCTTTGCTTGGCCCCCTAATGCAGAGCCACATCTCAACACCCCACATAGTGCGCTTTGTTTTTCCTAAACTGAAAAAAAGAAGCGTTCACCTAGAGCTGTAGCGCTTGATGCAGACGGTTCAGGGTCGGTTATTCAGGACGGCCGGAGCAAGCTGAGCCGTTTCTCGTCGGGGATGCCGCATGTTTGAGGCTTGTTTTGGGAGCTGAAATAGTGAGGGGATGGCAGTGGGCCTTGTGCTTCCTGTTCTTCTTTATTTATGCCTTCAGGCAGAGGCGGAGATCTTTTACTGTTTCAGCGAAGTCATGCAGCAACAACGCGACGCCTTCTGCAAAGCCCTCGACCCCACAGATGCCGGCGTGCGGGGTCGTCTGTCAAGCTTAGACGGTCTTCTGAGGCAGAAGGTGCGGAGATGAAGTACCGCCATAGCTTAGGCTCTGGCGGCACTAAAAGGGGTGAATGTCCGGGGGGGATCCTTGTTGCTGCAGCTGCAGCTGCACCTCAGAGCTGCTCAGTGTATGGAGACTGGCAGCTGCCGCGGCACAGAGAGTAGTGGCAGGTGTTAGGTGGCTTGCTTGCGTTTTATAGGATGAAGAAGTATGGATGCATCTCAACGCAGTTGGTGTGGAGCCGCAGTTCTATGCCTTGCGGTGGCTGCTGCTGATGCTGACGCAAGTAAGGCTCGACTCCACTGCTCGGGGTAGACGGTGTTGCCTCGTATCTGTTCTGTTTGCTCAAACTGTGTACGGGCTGTAGCAGTTAATCCTCTGTCTTTGGCCTAGAAAGCGTACGCAGCGCAACCATCAGTGAGGTTGCTGTCCATTGCCGAAACAGCGTCTATACAGTGCAGGGTCGGAGGAGCGTGTGAACGGGTATTTGGGCACTGTGTGCTTGCGTTATTCCTGCAGGAGTTTGAGATGCCGGACGTGCTGGCTCTGTGGGACGGTCTCATAGCAGACACGGGACGGCCTTTGCCGTTACTGTATTATGTTTGTGTTGCGATTATCATTTGGGTGGGGTTAGAATGAAGGAGAAACGCTTAGTTTGCCCGCGATATCCCTAGCTCGCGGCTGAGTATGGTACTCGGCGCTCTACTTCTATGACTGGTGGTTTGCGGTGTCCTGTGTTGGTACTGCAGCTGAGGCCGGCCCTCTTGGCTGGCGACTTCACAGCCTGCATGAAGTTGCTGCAGCATCTTCCCTCCTTTGACCCGAAGGCTTTGCTGAGCTGCGCCATGCGGCTACGGTAGGCGGCGGGATACTCGTCTTTTCTCGCCTTTGGGCAGTTGCTGTTACACCTACTTATTGAGGGGGCACATAAGATACAGATCGCAGTCTTTCTTTGGCCACCGTTAAGAAATTTTTTCTGTGCATGGTGTGCAGCGCCGATGACGTAGATGGGAACCTATCCCCGGCTAGGCCGGTGCCAGTAGGGGGTCGCAGGAGGCGGGAGGGTCTGGAGGAACTGGACCCCCTGCAGCAGGTGTCCGACTCTCTATTTAAGCCTATTTCACGGGCTATCGCAGCACTGAGCTTGAATGACGGTCAGGGTGCTGTGCCCAACGAGGCCGTACGACTGGGAGGAGGAGTAGCAGAGGCCGTTGGGGAAAGAAACTGGACGAAGGGCATTTTTTTGTCTCCTTCCCTGCGGGGGGAGGGAAGTGTGCATCGGGGAGAGGGTGGCGACGGCGCAGATGCACCTCTCGGACACCTCAAACGATTGGCGGGGGCCGGCGTGGAGCACGCCTGCAGAGGAGCCAGCGTCGTTTCCCAGTACTTGAACAACTCCGGGTTGGCCTCGGGGCTTGCGTCCAACATCACTTCCTTCTTCGGGGGGGAAAGCACCTCGAGCAGCGCAGTATCGCCCCCAGAGGCGACAGAGACTTCAGCAGCAGACGAACGCCCTCGCCAGTCGGCTGCAGCAAAATTTGGTGAATTCTTGGCAGCGGCACAAAATGGACTGTCTTCAGGGATCACGGGGGCCACTAGTTCTCGTATGGGACAAGAGAAAGCCCCAGAAACATCTCCAGCGCCAGACACAGATGATACTCTGGGGAGAGCCCCTCAGCTGATTGAATGCCCGTTCTCTCCTGTTGAAGAAGCTGTCAGTGAGGCGCTCGAGCGGCTACCACTGGAGGAGGACAGCTCTTTGCGGGACATTTCTCCAAGGCAGCGAAAACTCTGGGACACCGACTCAACGGAGGGTTTGGGGGGAATAATAGGGGACGCTGACAGCATAACAGACAGTCCACGAGGCGATTCCGACAAACGCTCTTTTAAGTCCCCTGAGGGAGAGGGGTTGAGGATTACAATACTTTGATCCCATGCTCACGGGAAGCCAGGAACCCAACGTGGCTCAGCCCAGCATTGGTAAAGGGGGCAACTTCATCTAGAGGTAGTGTTCGTAATCTACTGAAGCCCAGGGATAACTTTGGACGGGCATGCCATCGGCGGATACATCAGTGCTTACCTTAGGAAACCAAAACCTGGGAAGAATATCGATACCTTAACCCTAGCTCAGACAGGTTGAGCCCAGTCGAAGGCACCGTTGTATGCCAACACATAGTAAACGTGCAACGGTTAAAAACGGTGATGCGACATTCTGAAAGCCGTGGACACGGTGCTTTGAAAGAAATATCGTTCAGTTGCAGGCATCATGCGTCTCTTGCGTCCTAATATAGTTTGAGCGGAACACACAACTGCAATGCCGTATCTGCCTTACTGCACCTCTCCATTAAAAGTACTAAATAACAGGGAATGGTAATTCTGCGCGTTCGAGATTATTTGGTGCAGAAGACCACATTTCGGCTGGTTGTCGAGACCCTTGCTACAGAGAATGTGGAGTTGGGGTTTGAACGAGCGTTTTTCGGTGAGATACGGAACAACATGTTAAAACATTTGTTACAGAATTCATGGTGTTTGGTTCTTTATCCGGGGTGGGTTGTAGGATTTGAAGGTGTTTGGGGGAGCTACAAGCGCTCGTCGTAGGGCTGACTAGGACTCGGGATAATTGAATCTGCTGGCGACAGTATAGACTGCTGCATTTATAATATTCGTATGTAGATTTATTTATTATTAGAAAACTAACAGGTTGAGGGTTCAAAGTTTTGGGATCTAACCGACGTTTCTAGTGGTTAGCTGGCTGGTCGCACTGCAGGTCACGCTTGTATGCGTTTGCCCAGAGAACTATCAGTGCAGGGATATGAGCGTGATATATGCACAGTTAGCTTGAAATAGACTGAGTTAATATTACTCTGCTGTTTTAAATATGATTTGCAAAGTTTGAACCGGGAAACAGTGGGTGTAGCATTGGCAGAAAGGCTATCGTTGTCTCAGACAGCCATTCGCCTCGAAGCCAGCGGTGCGCAGGCGACTCACCACTAGGCTGCAGGCCAGCAGTCGGTAGCTACTTGCTTCAGATCTATTGTTTTACAACAAGATTCTGAGCACACTCTACCATTGAATATATGCTTTTGTTTCTTGAGCACATTTGAGCTCGTTTTCGCGAATTGATTTTCTTGCTTTTCTTGCCTCGATCGTCTCGTGCCATCCAGACCATCGAACTGCTTCAACCGATAGCAGACGTGAAGCTCTACAGCTTGTCTGTCGTCTGGCAGCTCGATTGACGGTCGTGTTTATTGCTTTGTATCCTAGGACATCTCATCTTTTAAACCACCCACATCTAGTAGACAAGTGAACATCCATCGCCTCCACCGAGAATGGTGTCAATATCTCAGAGTCCGATGATGGCAAGAGCTTGGAGAAAGATACTGCCGCTCGCGGCTATTCTCGCTTTTGAACTTGTTTCCCATGTGCTCATCATTTCTCCCTGTCCAGCTCTGGCAATTGAAAATGGCGAAGGGCAGTCGCTTGTAGACCCACAATTGCAGCCGGCCGACTTCGAAAATGAGGAAGGACAGAGAACAGACAACCTAGGCGAAGCTGCATCTGAGAGTCAACAGCTCATCCTCCGTGAAGGCGTCGAGTCGTCTACACCGTCTCTACGAGGTACTACAGTTCTGCGCGAACTCGGCGAAAAGGAACTGGGCGGTGACGGCAGCGGGCAAAATTTCCAGGAGGATCCAAATGCAATGACTGGACAGGGCGGCAGAAAGAATAAACAACGATACATTAACACTGCAATGGCTATGCCATCCGCTGCAATGGCTATGCCATCCGCTGCAATGGCCATGCCATCCGCTGCAGTGGCCATGCCCTCGGCTACATTTGCAGTACCCTCCGCTACATATGCAGTACCCTCCGCTACATATGCAGTACCCTCCACTACATATGCAGTACCCTCCACTACATATGCAGTACCCTCCACTACATATGCAGTACCCTCCGCTACATATGCAGTACCCTCCGCTACATATGCAGCACCCTCCGCTACATATGCAGTACCCTCCTCTACATATTCTGTACAATCCACTACAGTTGCAATGCCCTCTTCTACATTTGCAATGCCGTCTTCTGCGGTTTCAGTATCCTCTTCTGCAGTTGCAATGCCCGCCTCTACACTTACAGTGCCCTACGCTACAATGTCGGTACCCGCCGTTGCTGCTACCCCAATGACGACTGGAGTCATTGCTGATGGAGCCGTAGGCGGCGGACTCTTTCAGAAAATGAAGACGCTAAAGTCGTACTTGGGCCTTATGAAGTATGCGAAGTATGCAAACGTCGCGGGCTACAACACCTACGGCACCTTTTCAAATGCTTATCCCATGGTCGCTGATTACGGGCCTGCAGCTGCGACCTTCGCCAGTTTCCCCAGTAAAGGCTACAACGGGTACAACACCTACGCCGGGAACAACAACTACACGGGGTTCAGTGCCCCTACAGAAAACATCGGAGGGTTGGGCAAGAAGACTCGGTTCACAGAAGAGCCCGGCCAGAGGTACTTGGCTCAAGTTTTGAGCAAAAACAGAACTGGATGGTGGTTGAGCAACAAAGTGTCGAAATTGGTCGACATTCTCGGGGGAGTCCTCCCCCAGGGCGTCGACCAGCCTGCGTTGCTTTCCAACGGATACGAGACGCGAGAGGCGGTGTTTCTGGCAGTCTTGCAAAACAGGGAACGATTCGTAGACCTGCTTGTGCAGGACCAGCTGCTCCAGGAGGAGCAGCCGCTGCAACGCCAGTGGATTGGGCGAATGTACACAGAGGTTAAGGGCCAGTATTCTGCGATTCAGGCCTTGGACAGAGATTTCACAATAGCGAAAATGGCGCCTCAAAATCAACCCTTGGCGTCCTTCCGTCACAGCCTACGACTTGACATACCCATTGACTTGTATGAGTTCAGCGGCTTGGACACCTACGTGCAGGCCCCCGACGGTCAGGTCTTCTTAAATGCAATTTCGCGACGTCCTTTAATTCGAGCCACGGCAGAGACGGTGATGGCGAACGCAGGCAGTAGCAGAAGGGCGTACAAAGCGCTGCTCAGTCTGTCTCAGCAAGCGGTGCGAGCGGTTGCCAACTTGAACTGCATTATGATGGTGCACACCAACATAAACCCCGCGTCCTTTTTAGTTACGGAAAAAGGACTTGTGTTCCTTGGGGGGCTATTCCAGGCCACGCAGCAGGGCAGCTCTCTGGCCAACAACTACAAGTTCACCTTAACGACGCCAGTCTTCTTGCCTCCTGAATTGCGAGACAATGCATCATACTACAGCATGCAGGCGCTCCCATCTCAAGATGCGTGGCAACTGGGAATGACGCTGTTCACCTTCTGGTGCTCGCAGTTGACCGTGGACTCTGCAGGAGGCCTAAACTTTAGCAACTGCATCAGCTGCATGCCTGCGGAGATAAAAGACCTGATCATGGGCTTGACTCAGATCGATCCCAATTCTCGACTGCTGGCAGAAAACGTCGCACTGAAGCATCCAGCCATGCTACTACCCATCTATCCTGATATTCCGCCCCAGGCGGACGTCAACCAGGATGACGAGCCCTATTTAGACTTCTTCTGAGCCGTTCGTTTGGTCCAGTTGCTCGTGCTCCGCAATCCTTTCGTTGCATGTGAATTGAGCCGAGCGTGAGTTAGCCTATTACTTACGAGTGGCCCACGTCATCTGGCCTTATCCACCAGAAAATACCTTTTGATCTTTTTAAATACACGTACGGCAGTCGTTGCAACAAAAGAAGGCTCATCTAGCTAGTGAGCAACGGCTCCCCAGCTCCCCTAACTTAGAAATGTTCCTAAATTAAATTAGCTGAATGCTTGCTAATATGATGGAATAAAGTCTCATTTGCAGGTCTGCCCATCAGGAGATTGGCCGCTGACAGGAACCTGTCACTTGGCGGAGCCAGGTAGCACCGACAGCTACAACCGGGGAAAACAAATTTCCAAAACGGCTTTGAATATCGACGTCCATTTACCAATTCAAAAGAACTGCGTCATGAATTCAATTGGAGGTTCGCAGTTGTGCAGTTTTCTGCCTTGTCACGAAATGGAGAGCTGCGATTTCGGAACCCTTCAACCACAACCAGATCCATTATTAGTGAGTTTGTTATAGCTTCTGTTGGTGATGCAGTTTTCACTGCAGCTGCTGCAACACTGCGACTCATAAAAAAGGTGATTCCGCTCAAAAAGGCGGCGGTAATAGCCGCTGAATGCGTCGTATCCGCCAAGGAAAATGCCACCCCCCAGCGCCACCCACAGACACCTCATCTGCACCCCCAAAAACAAAGACCTCAGACCCTCCTGACGAAGCATTATGCCCAAGCAGTGAAAAAAGCCCCTGTACTAAACAGACGAAGCACAACACAACACAAGAAGGCCCATAGATGGAGCAACTGCTGCTCACCCGAGATATCTCATCCACATCCGCATTATGCCAAAACACTTGTGGGCTTGCACGCCAAGCCAACCCATCCCTAGGCTCAGGAACCCACTTGACGCGTTCCTGGAGATTGCGTCATAAGGCGCGTTTTCACGACATCCATAGGAGTTGTCGCAACGGCAGCTACAGCTCCTGCAACAAATGCCCACGCGATTCTTCCTCCTTCACAAGAAAGCAGCTCGGAACATCTAAGCAAGCCATCCAGTGTCTGCCATTAAGAGCTAAAGAAAAAAAACAAGATGGATAAGCTGGGAGTCCATTAAAAACAAGTTGCACGCACCTGCTACCATTCCTGCTGCTCCGGAGACCGCTGCTGTAAAGCTTGTTGGTGAAGGGCTTTCCCCTGTGTAGGCACAAAACATTGTAAATATGCATAATGAATTACGTATTTATGACGTGCATACACATGTAGATATGTACATAGACGTGCCAGAGCACGCGAATGTATATAACGTCACGCATACCTGGGCAGAAGGATTAAATATGCAGTACGCATTCATCTACGTATACACGTAATTGCATGCACGCGCTCACGAAAAGAGAAGCCCACGCATATGCGTACATTGGTGTTTGCATCCAGGTGCTCACCAAACCAGGAACAGTGATGACTGAATTAAGGGCTGTGTCAAGTGAAGCCGAAGGTCGGTGCAACACCACGTCTGTCGCGCTAAAGCAGCAGCAGTGGTAAAGCAGTGAAAAATTATCCCCATTAAGAGTACTGAATCAATTAACGCGGATCACTGGACAACATTATATGCATTAAACTCAGCAGAGTGGCGTCCAATTTGACACAGGTGTTACACCCAACCGCACAATACAGGAAGCGCTTATTTGCATATTGTTATTATCGCGATCTTATTACTCTTGCGTTTTTGTGCAGCAGTGTTGAAGAGAAAGCAGCAGACCTAATGTCTTTAGCTTGAGCCACTCCCACAAAGAAAGCTGCATTGCAGCAAATGGAACATCTCGCAGCATGGAAGTGCCCAGCCCCACGAAGAAGCCGCGGGGTCCCTCCAGCCGCCAGACAGCGGAAAATCCTTTAGCAGTTGATGCGTGCAGCCCCAACTGCACCTGCTGCTTCACCACCTCAAACGGATTGCTGCAAGCAGCAGCAGCCCTCCCGACCCACAAGTACTAGCAGTTAACAACTTCGTCACTCCCTGCCACTGGTGGTGCCCCGACGCATCTCAAGCAGGCCAAAGCACAATGGTACCTCAGGGGTACAACTCAACCAGACGGCAAGTCACCCCAGTCAAACCGAACCCTCATGAGCGCAGCATTTTCCCACTTCTTACTTAAAGACCTTATCGACATGAATGCAGCAAAATCACTGCACAACAGAGAGAACACAGTAGGCGTTCCAACATCCTTGCCACCTGCCATTCTTCATGAAACCTGCTCATACTGCCCTCTCAATTCATTCTTGACGGCCTCACCGAATGACGCAGGCGCTGGACTCCGCGACGGCTGCGGCTGCTATGTGTGTTGATGCCAGCGGCACGTCGGTGTCTGAAAATAAGAACAAGAACGCATCAGCAGCCGCAAACAGCAACAAATGAGAGCTATCTCAAACTTCAATGGCAGCAGGTACACAGGCTTTACTGCAGTGCCAGCACTACCAGCAGCAGCAGCTGCTGCATCCGCATCAACCCAGGGGCGGATAGACCGGAACTGGTTTTCCGACAGGTCCCGCCGTTGGCTCAACCCACTCGAGTGCTTCAGTTTCTCCTTCACCACCTCATATACCACAAAGAAACCAGCAGAAGAGGGCATGCTGCCCATAGCCAGAGCTGCAATGCCGCCGTAGCAGCTGCGTAGGCCGTTAAGCCTCCCCCGATATCGCACACCTGCTGGAGACCTCCCAATTTTGTGCGAACTCACAACAGTATAGGAGCACGTAGGTTCGCCCCCGGAACTCGAGGGAGCTGCGAAAGTCACTCTGCTACTAGGGGGAGATCCTGTTGCTACAGAAGCAGCTGCAGCAACAGGCGCTTGGGATGACGCCGGTGGAGCAGGGCCTGCCGGGGCTGCTGCTGCTGACACTGGTGGGACATTATTACCTTGGGCGTGAGTCTTTAGAAAATCTAGAGGAAAGAGGCTGATGTCTGCTATGATGCCGGTCGAGGCTCCTGCCGCAAGGGCGACAGCTGCAGCAGTAAAATGCGCAGCAAGAAAGCAGCACCAGAAATCCCAGAATGGGGCAGCAGCAGACGGCGCAAGGCGATATCAAGCAATGGATGCAGGTCTGCTTCGTTGCCCTTGGCGGCCCTGATAGGCTGTGGCCCACCTTCGTCCCTCGAAAATATCATCAGAGTCTCATTGACCTGAGACGCTCTGGATACACTGCATGAACGCTAGCACCGGACCCTACCCCAAGGTTCCAGGACAGGAAAACGGGGGGACCCCTTCGTCTGTGAAAGATGCGAATGTGCTGTGTATCTGATGAGATTGAGCTGCAGTAGTGCCTTCTGCTCTCGCTGACTACGCTGGCCCAAGACAAAGCATCCGGGCCCATGGAGGTGCGGTGAGCCTTGGGGAAGGACAGTTTTTAATGCTATTGTAATTTTTTCTGTTGCTTTCCTTATTTTCCCCTTCTGTTACGATTCGGTGAAAAGGGCAGCAAAGCTTCAGATGTGCGTTTCGCACGAACGCAGATCCTCCTGGGGCCCCTCCTCATGCAGGCGACTGGGACGCGAAATGCCTTCGAGTATTTGCGATACAGCACAACTAAAACTAAGTAATAAACGCAAATCAGATTTGGAGAAGCGCATGATTTCTTGTTGGCTTCGTTCGTCGTCAGGTTTCAAGCATTCAACAACAGTTCAACAGGTGGTGTAGGGAGATGCACTTCGATTTGCTGGGCACACAAGGATAATCAAGTTGAAGGCGTCAACCACACAACAGTTTCCTTCAGTATTCATGCCGGTTTTACTTTATATACACTCCTTTTCAGTCCAATGAAGCTGAAAAGCTCACCATTTGCGAGGCATGTGTCGACAGGCCAGTGGAACAAAGCGGCTAGTGATCGTGTGCAACTGCGTACCTGCTGTAGAAACAAAATAACTATACTAATATTCAGGTATATTGTTATTATATAATATATAGCTAGTGGAGTTGTGTGAATGTAAGACAGCGGAAACGCTATTAGGTAGAGGGTAGAGGGAGGGACTCCCGCGTTCCATAGTGAATATTCTTCCGCCGAAAGAAGGCTAGCGCATGTATACGGGTATACACAAATAAAAGGCCACTTCGGGATAATTAGGCTTATTGAGAAATAACGTGCTGCAGCGAGGCGCTGCAAGAGCCGCAGCAGTTGCTGCAGCGACAACAAATGCCTACGCAGAATCGCATATCCCTGGCCCGGCAAAATGATGTGTTTAAGGCTGAGCCTTCTTCATATGTTGTGAATTAAAAAAGACTAACAAGGGGGTGCTGAGACCTACTTTGCAATACGCTGCCTCTCCGACGTCGGTGGGAACCCATTTAACCTCTATCTTGTTACATTCACGTCACCCCTCGTAGTAACGTTCTCTCGCACAAACTTTAACATCAGCGTGAACAAGACAAACCCCTTTAGACTCTGGACTTCTCGAGTCTGCTACACTGTACCCTCTATAGGTTGCATGGTCACCCAGCAACAACCGGGCACGATCAAAAGAGCAGCTGCAACGGCAGCCACAACAGCAACGGCCATATATAGCCTCCGCAGCAAACCCAGTACACGTATAAAATGTGCGTTGCGTGCACTCCTGCACAAGGACTTCACCGCGTTCAGTCAGCCCAGAAAGACGAACAAGAAGTTACAAGCAGCGCACGCAGGAGAGCTCTTGCAACGTTTGCCCGATGTCTCAGGGGTTTGCATTCCCGGAGCCATCTGGCATCGGTGTTAACGATGCACTTGATATAACAGGCCCCCGCATGTTCATGTGCAACTGGAAGCCTCATGACCCTCGAGGGGACTCTCGCGGCTTCCAGGCGGCCCCATTGGGGCTGGAATCGGCCTGGTTTGCCAGCTTCAACACGAAGTACAGCTCTTAATGACAACAGCGGCTAGAGAGTGATAGAGAACACACCGGAGAAAGGGCAACTCCCACTATGCTGAGCTGTGCTGTAGTGGGTGAACGTTGGAGGCTGCCCTCTGACGCTGCAGCGCTGCATACGGGATGCTGCAGCCGCAGCGTTGCAGGCAGCCAGCTGCATCACTACAGTCTGAGTCAAGTGAGGCGAAGCTGGTAGTCTCCATTTTGGGTTATGTATCGGACCCAGGGCAGCGCTTGGTATCCGCTCTTCTCGATTATTTTGAGGTAACGGACGGTGATGCCTGAGACGGTGAAATACGGAATTTCAAAGAGCACTTGAATTGGTCGTCTCATGAAGTTGCGCCTTGAGTCGTCCTGTACAGAAGGAAGGGAAAAGGAGGCCGTCATGCTGTATTCTCTTTGGCCCTGAAAGTGGCGAATGCTCCACACAAGACAGTCCAAGTCTGGCACGTACTTCGCGCTGCCAATGGTCGTCTTGAAGTGCCCTGCGCCTGCATCTGCAGGCACAGGAATTCGTATTTCGACGCCCCCTGCAACAGAACGGGGTTTGAATTGACTTCTGGCACGAACAACGTACTCAAGGCGGCTGCCTGATGTGCCTGTATCCACCTGACAGTCCACCCAGATCAGAGGCTTAACTTGCGTGTGCAGGCGGTAAGACATGAGCTCGCATTCGCCGTCGGGAGGGATGAAGGATATAGTTCTGTCGTTTTCAAAACGCGCTAAGCGAACGCATTGGTGGAACTTCACGTCCTCCATTTCAATTGCTCGCCCTCTCCCCGTTGACTTCCCGCTACTTTCCAGCACCAGCTTGTCGTTCAGTCCGAGTTTCAGCTCCGGCATGCCGGAGAGGAAAGACTTCATCTTCAGAGATCCGAGGATTTCAGAACGCAAAACGTTTCCGTTGGCAGCCACAAGCAAATCGAGCTTCTCCACCACATCTAAGAATATCTCATTCTTCTTGTGCACGATACCCTCAGAGCGCCAAGAAACTGCATTTGTCATGGCGGTGGGTGGGCGCACGGTGGCTGTAGACATCTGATGGGCCTGGTTTTTGATGAATTCGCTCAACACCTTCACCTCTGTGGTTTGTGGGTATCCGTTATCCACCATTTCATCGAGTAATTCGTACGTTATGACGAAGTTGTCGCGGAGGCTTTCTTCGGCAAGTTCGTGAAAGTAGCTCGTCAATACAGACCCCAGTTTGTGCAGAAAGGCCAACAGCATCATTGCGTTCGCATTACGGCGTGTGAGGGCTAGCAGGTATATATTTTTCAGCTTCACCCAACAATAGGTCACTCCTTCGTCTTCAAATACAGGAGTTACAGCCGCCTCATCCTGTTCAAGAACCCGACAGGCGAATCTGTCACTAACGGCCAGAGAAACGTCGCCGAGGTAATCGCGGCCTATTATTACCTTCCCCCGACCGTCCAGAAGCAGCACTGCGCTGGCGCCCGCCATCGTCGCAGCACAACCAACGAACACGCCGATGCAGACGCAAACACCCGTTGCTGCACAGTGAACGAGGCCGCTTGTGTTGCAGCCACGCACAGGTGAGACCCCTCCTTCACCTCGTTAAAAATGCTCTTCGAGTCAAAACTGCCTCGCATGAGAAAAGAAATGGCAGAGAATGCTGCCAGCGTTTCACCTGGAGCCGCTCCCTGAGCAACTGTCCGCAGAGCGGGACGCAGCAGTGGGAAGCCGCAGCAAATTAGGTGACTGCGGGAGTTCCCATGAGGTTTCTGAGAGGCTCTTGCTTGTACAAATTCTTGTATTCAATTACACTTTTTTACTGTGCGAAGATCGAGCGCTTGCGCATCTCACTCATGGCCAACAGCCCCGGTGCTGCCGTTGCCGACGACTTGGCTGCCTTGCGCATGCGGTGTTGCTGTCCGTTCTCTGTTGTCTTGCGGTCATTTTCCATCCTTAAAATTCCTAAAACAAACGTAGTTTTGGGTCCAAAAAAAGCGGATGTTCGGCAAGATGGTAGCTCTTCTTCACGCATGACACCCTGCCGGGCCCGCGGACTCTCACCACGGGTACTTGAGAGGTGCTCGCATTCTCCCATTTACTACGAGGAATGAATTAAAATGGATCTGCGAATCACACGAAAGTACTAATGTAGTTCGGGTATTTCACTTTATATGTTTCTCTCTTCGATGGGCTGCTTCGTTAGTTCAGTTCCCAGACGCTGTAGCTAGGAAGTCAGAGCTGAGACTCCCATTGAAAGTTCGAGTTGACTATCCAAAGAGTTTCTCCCCGAATTCTGTATTTATTTATCTCCCAATTTATTGCGTGTCAAACGGCCATTCTGTGGAGGCGCTGTTCGCTTTTTTTTGGCATACCGCACGGGAGGTTTTCTGCGCGTCTTGCGTTTTATGATCCCGCCTTGTGTATCATTTCCCGTAATTTGCAGTCTGTGCATCAGGCCGTTAAAATTGGCATACAACCGAAAAGAAATTATTTACCCAGTTGGTGCATTATTTTCTTCGGTTGTTCAAATTCGTTCGTATATTTATTGTTATTGAGCAGTTCGCATATTCCAGTGTTGGGCTGATTGCGCTTGCCTTCGCACTCGACTACATCCAGTGTCTCCCTACTCATCTTGCAATTTGCATTGATTTCTTTGACTTTTGCATCCCCCACCGGTGATAATTTTTTGTTCGCCGTCCAGGAATTTGTCTTTCTTCTGAGAAGAGCATCATTTAAACTAGTCGCGACAACCGCTATTATTGTTATTACTGCGGCGCTTCTTTCTGTGCTTGTATCCCCTGTTATTATTGCTCTTTTGGCTGTTTGTCGTTGTTTGTCGTTTTTGTGATTTGTTATTCGGTGTTGTTTGGCGCTGTTTGAGGTTGTTTGCTGCCGCCTGCTGTTCTTTGATACTGTTTGTAATTGTTTCGTGTTACTTCTCGCTCGTTGTTGCCTGTTGCACTGTTGTTGTCTGTTGTTGTCGTTTTCTGTCTCCTGTTGTTGCTGGCGCTCTTCCTGTTTTTGCTGCTTGTTGCTGCTACTTGTTGTCTTCTACTCTTTATTGTTGTTAGTTGTTTCTCGTTCGTTGCTATCAGTTGTTACCTAATGTTATTGCTGTTGTTCTGTTGTTTCCGGTATTTGTCGTTGTTTAATACAGTTGCGTGTTACTGTTCGTCGCTGTTCTTTGCTGCTCGTGTATTGTGTGTTTTGTGTTTCGCTGTAGATGTTGTTTGCTGTTTGCCTTCATTTTCATTGTCGTTTTTGTTTCTTCTGTTTGTTGCTTGTTCTTTACTATGTGCCGTTGCTGCTGTTTGTCTCTGCTAGTTGCTGCCCTGTGTTGTTTGCTTTTGATGTCCTTTGTTCGTTGGTGCATGCGATTGCCTCTCGTTGTTTTTTGTCTGTTCTTTGACGTTGTTGGTTGTTTGTGTCAGTTGCCGTCTGGTGTTGCTTCTTGATTTTTGTATGTTGTCGTGTGCTGTTGCTTGTTTTTGCATGCTGCTGCTTCCTGCTCGCTGCTTGTTGTTGCTTGATGTTTTTTGTTGTTATTTTCTGTTTGTCGTTTGCCGTTAGTTGTGGCTTGCAACATGACATGCGCTATTGTTCGCTGTAGCTCTCGCCGCTCCTCAGGCTAGGCGCGCCTGGAATATGTTGACGTGCTTTAAACGCGTCCTCAAACATATTTGTGAGACTCGCCTTGTCTTAAGACGCTGGTGCTTTTGCGTTTGAGCATGCTTCTTCGGCCTCCTAGCTCATTACAGTTGCACTTGCCGACTTCTTTGTCTGTATCCGGCTGGACTGTATACAAATGCCTTTATACTTAGTTAAAGTTGCTTAAACATACCATGTACAAACGAACCCACTGAGGGACATGGTAAGCCAATACTTTAGGCGTGGAATGCTTGTGTGGTATGACGGGTAGTGGAGGTTCCTCCAAGCTTATTGAGGTGCTAAAAAATTCAGATGCAACATCCCTGTTTCAGATATGGCATTGTTTCCTGCGCTTTAGCTTCCTGAGCCAGTCGGGTAAGACACTTGGGGTTGAAGATGGGGTAAAACGTACAGCGAGTTTGGCTCAACAAAGCGAGACGCATTCATGTGCCGACACCAGCATTTCTATACACTTTCTAATTACACATATTAACTGTGTCTTCTACTGAGAAATGAAACAGTGGAATACATGCAGCATGCCATGCAACATGCCTTTCACTGGTATGTAATACTGGCTCGAAGAATACTGTAGCACTGAGACAAGGGAAGACGGCAGGGGCTGAGGGCTTACACTGCAGGTCTGGAGATTTATCGCTTCAAATGGAGGAAAACGACTGACCAAAATTCAGACGCAGCTCCAAACGAGAAACGCTTAGAACTAATGAGCTTGGAACATTTGGCAGAGCAACATTGAAGGCTATAACAGGGCCTTCATGCCACACAATAAAGCCTTTCTGCTTGCCGTGCATGGTTGTGTGCACACGAGGTAGCGGACTGATACTTTCATCTTTCACTTATGGGGGCCCTGTGCATTAGTATAATAAGGCACGTGGGGGTTCTCGCTACAGGTAGTCCGCCTGAACAGCAGGTAAGGTGGGACGTTTCAAAAAGAACAGGAACTGTTATGTGACCTCTCAAGCTGCGCTATGTGCGATGTTCTTCAAACGAAGTTTGTCGTTTCTGCACAGAGCTGCGGGATTGCAACAGCAGGTGGCTCCCCCTCAGCACGAACGAGATAAGTAAAAGAAACCCCTTGAGGGTGCATTTCATTGAAACTAATAGATGAAAATGGTGATGTTAAAATGGTATTTTAGTTACGAATAAAGATATGAACAGCACCAGTGGCTTCCTCATTCGCCATCTGCGGTCAACACCGGTCAGGAGGAGCGGGTGCGTGCACGTTGGAGTATTTAGTCTGTAAATATCATGAATATACATTTTAAATCCAGTTTTTGAGGCATTAACTGCCATATGATAAACCTTTCTACAGGAAGAAGGGTTTGACGCTGCTCATAGACGCACGAAGTGGGCGCCATTATATGAACCATGGCCTCGATTTAGTGGGATCTCGCACACCGTGGGGGCTTCTTACCTCTGCCTCTCGCGAACCAAAACTTTAAAGAAGTTTTTGTGTGTTCAACAAATTGTTAAGTAAAACTCGCCGTTACCAGGGTGGCTCCGCAGCACTAGCCGGGAGGTACCGGTCTGCAGCGGAGGAGAGTCTGAACGCGTGGGAGAGGTTTGAGTCATGACATTTTCATGATATATGTCCCTCTTAACACAATGAAGGTATATCATTATTGAGATTCTTACGTTGCCACTGGCAACGGTTGCCGCTTATTGTTCTCCATATCCTCTCCGCCAGCCTTCACGGTCTATTCGCCTGCTTAGGGTTTAGGGGAGACTGTGCGACTCCTGTGCATTGAAACACATGATTATTGAGCGTTTAATTACATCAAGAAGACAAGCGGAAGGGAAAAGCCAGGAAATGGTGGCCATCTGCCTTCCTTCTTTCTGGATGTTGTGCGTGCTGTGCCTCTCGTCGACGGCTGTGGGCGGCTCTGAAACTCAGCGGCTTCAGCGGCCCCTCCTTGGGGAGACAACTTTAGGGCGTCCAGCGGAAGAAGTATCTTCAAGCGATGGAGAAGAAGTTCATTTTTTGACGAGCCACTCAAGCCATTTTGAGGGCCTCCATCCCGAAAATCAAATTCAGCATCTGTTCGTGCATGATCGTCAACAGCCTATGTCACAATATCAGCATCACCAAAGAAGCGGCATTCTGCCACTGCAGCAGCCGAAGTGGAGCGAGACTATCTCTGAATATTTGATTGCTACAAAGCAAAGGCCCCAAAGCTTCTTTAGGACGGTGGAAAGGCTCATCAGGAAGCCCACGTTAGACAAGATTCTTCTTATCTCAACTATCTTTGCAGCCTCTTTCTTGTTAACAAGACCTTTGTTGCATATCATTCATATCATGTTCACTTTATGGCTGGCAATCAAGACACTCCCGCTTCTCGACTAACATGTGCCTCACCTACAAGCAAACTCAGAAGGGGGCCCCCCGCCTCGCTGCTCAACAAGTTTCATAGTTTCATAGCTCATTAAGATGCCGAATTCCTGATTGCAGGAGGTTTCCGTGTTGCTATATACAATATATATATATA